TCCCCCCCTGCTGCCCCTCCTTTGGGGCGGAGCTCGTGGGGAGGAGTCTCATTGTGGGCTGGGGGGGGGTGGGGTGGGGGTACAGCCCGGCCTCACCCTGCGGCTGAAGGAAGAGTTCTCATTTTTCTTCTTTTTACCCCAAATCTGCAGTTTTCCAGCGCGGTGACCCCCCCCAAAAAGTAAAACAGAGGTACGTCCCCGCGGTGACCCCCACAGAACCCACAGATCCTATGCATCCCCCTCCCCAAATCGGTCCCTATGGGGCCGGGGGGTTTCTTACACAACGGTCGGATCGGGGCAGGAAAAGGAGGAAATTGGGGCAAAAAAACACAATTTTGGGGAAACCAACCAACCAAAAAAAGCACCAAACCCCCCGAGATTTGGGGTTGTTTGGCAGCGTTTTGGGGCTGGGAGCGCTGCAGTTCCGTATTTGGGGCCGAGTGCCGTTCAAAGCAGGAAGGAGTGCTATGGGAGGAAAGTTTTGGGGTTAAACGAGAAAGATCTGCGGCTTTTAAAGTTTTTACCCCCAATTCGGCCTTTTTCCCACCTCCCCCCCATTTTTCTGTCCTTTTGGCAGGGCTTTTTTTTCCTTCTCTTTTTATGGGGGAAGTGCTGGATGGAGAGCACACAGCAGCACCTGCTGGGATGCTTTGCTCTCAGAAATGGGGCAAAAAGAGGCAGTTTTGGTTCTGTGGCTCTTTTAGCCTCAGATCTGGGTTCTTTGGCCCCACAGCTGGGTTACTTTGCCCCCAGATAGGGTTATTTTGGACTCGAAATGGGGTTGTTTGGCCACAAAATTGAGTTATACGGCTGCAAAAAGGGGTTCTTTGGCCCCAAAATGAACTTATTTGGCACCAAAAATGGGATCGTTGGCCCCAAATCTGGATTATTTCGGCCCCAAAATGGGTTTTTCGAGCCTGAAAAGTAGAGAGGAGGAAAGTGTGGGGAGCAGCAAAACATTTTGTTTTGGGGGGGACGTGTGTAAAGGAAGGGGTGTGTGGTGCCCCCCAAAGTGAGGAGGGGTCCTCGTTAATGGGATCCTCGTTAATGGGATTCCTCATTAATGGGGTTCTCATTAATGGGGGCTTCTTAATTAGGCGTCTTAATGGGGTTCGGGGCATGGGGTGCAGGAGGAAATCACTCTCATTATAGGATTATGAGGCCTCAGTCTCACCCCAAAATGCTTCCTGGGGGAGGTCCTACTGCTGACCTCAGCCCCTCCCTCATTTTGGGATGAATTTGGGCGATTTTGGGTCACAAACCCCCCAAGGATTTCCTGCAGAATCTTTCATTTTTGATGCATTTCAGGCTGCACACCCCAAACTCTTCCTGGCCACAATTTGGGGTCAGCATTGCCAGCCCCTCACCCCAGCAGTAATGACCACTTAATGAACCTCCCCACACCTAATTAACCCGCCCCCCCCCCAGCACCTCGTTAAGCCTAATTAAACTTTTTGCACACCACACAGAGCTGCCCCCGTTCCCTTTTGGGGCCGTTTCCCTTCGTTTCCCTTTAAACTCAGCCCCTTTTGGGGGCACGTGTGTTGTTTGTTTCCTTTCCCAATCAATATTTTTAATGAACGCATGCACGTAATTAATTAATTAACAGATATTGTTAATTGTTGCTGGCTGTTAGGAGGTTAAATGGGGCTATTTTGGGCTCCTGCTCGGGTTGCAGTTCCCCAGCAGCTGCTGTGGGGCCGCAGTGGGATCCAGCGGCTTTCCCTGCTTCCCCCCAAAATTCACCACTTCCCGGCACCAAAATCCCCCACATTTGCCCCAGATTTACCCCAAACCCACCTGCAGCCACATCCAGCCCAAAATTTGTAGCTTTTTGTTATTTCCCTCCCTCTTCTTTTCCCTTAACTTGTCAAATTTACCCCAAATCCTCTTTGGGTCCCGTAAAACAAATCTTTTTTCACCCCATTTGCTCACAGACCCCCAAATTGACCGGAATACCCCAAAATTCCCCAAAATCCCCTTATCCTTTTTCACCCCATCTGCTCACAAACCACAAAACACGCTGAAATAGCCCCAATTGGACCAAAATACCCCAAATTTACCCCAAAACTCCCTCTGGCCCCACACAATAAATCCCTTTTTCCCCCCATCTGCTCACAGACCCCAAAATGGACCAAAATGACCCCAAATTCCCTATAGGAATGGGATTAAAGGAAGGAATCCTCACAGCCCCATTCCTTCTCAACCAGACTCCCCTAAACCGAGCTGTACTAATTAGTGGCATTAATTAAAGTGATGTTAATGAAGAGACCCCATAATGTTGACCCCATTGTTTTGGGTGTTCTGTGACTTTGGTTTTCAGGAAGCCATAATGGGGCAAAAAAGGGGAAAATGAGTCATGAAGTCAGTTCTTATTAACGAACGCTGTGCTCTGGAGTGTAGTCTCCCAGATGAGGCCGTGCTAATTAGCAGGGCTGCTAACGGAGATCCCTTAAAAGGGTCCTAATGAAGACCTTGTTGGCTTCAGTTGGGTGTTGCCTGACTTTGGGTTTTGGGGTAACGAAGCCATAATGGGGCAAAAAGGGGGAAAAGTAGTTAACGAAACCAATTGCTATGAATGAATGCTGTCCTGTGAAGTGGTTTCTTCCAGATGAGGCTGTGCTAATTAGCAGGGCTGCTAACGAAGATCCCTTAAAAGGGTTTTAACAAAGACCCTGTTGACTTCAGTTGGGCGCTCTGTGACTTTGGGTTTTGGGGCAACGAAGCCATAATGGGGTAAAAAAGGAGAAAAATATTAACGAAACCAATTGTTATGAATGAATGCTGTGCTCTGGAGCCTTCCGAATGGGGCCGTGCTAATTACCAGGGCTGCTAATGAAGATCCCTTACAAGGGCCTTAACGAGGACCCCGTTGGCTTCAGTCGGGCGCTGAATGACTTCAATTTTTGAAGCAACACAGCCATAATGGAGCCCAAAACTTTGCCAACGAGTCAACAAAACCCATTTTTACGCCCCCCCGCCACCCCCCCGGGGCCACTTTTCACCATTTTCCCCCTTTTTCCCCCCGTTTCCCAGGCGGAGGATGGCAGAGCAGCCCATAGTGCCCGTCTTCTGCACCGGGGTGTCGGCGCAGGTGCAGCGGCAGCGTGCCAAGGCTCTGGGCCTGGGGCAGCACCAGAACGCCGTGCGCTTCCAAGGCCAGGACTACGCGGCGCTGCGCGACGGCTGCCTGCGCTCCGGGAGCCTCTTCAGGGACGAAGCCTTTCCCCCTTCTGCCTCGTCTCTGGGTTTCCAAGAGCTCGGCCCCGGCTCTTCCAAAACCCGCGGCGTGACGTGGAAGAGGCCGACGGTGAGCGTTAATTAATGTCTAATTAACCCCCG